CCCCCCCAACCAATCTGGTCTGTGGCACTACATGGGGCTGAGCTGTGCCTGTTCTTCACCTACCAACAGCACTGCCCTGGTCCCAGCCTGCCAGCACAGCTTCCTGGTGGGGCTGTTTTTTCACCCACTTGGCTGGCTAGAGCTTGCTGCTCACCACACTGGGTGTACAGAGTGGGTGGTAGGTGGCCAGGAGCTGGATCTCTGCACACTAGAGTGTGATCTGCCTGGCTGGGTGTGTAGTGCCTAGCACATGTCCTCACACCTGCCATTGCTCCCTCATACTATCTGCTGCCTGGAACAGCTCAGGAGGGGCAGGAGCTGCACATGGTGGCAGGGGCTGGAGTGGGTGCATAGTGTGGGGTGCCCCTGTGCAGAACTCAGCACCACAGGGGCAGTCCTGGGCCAGATATAATCTATTAGTGGGTTGGATCTGGCCTGCAGGCCATATCTTGCCCACTCCAGGACTCAACGCTCAAGAGAGGGAAGCAAGATTAACTGTGTTACTGCAAGCAAAGTAGGTTCTTCTGCAGGGGCCTTATGCACCATAGGCATGAAGAGGAGATTCTGACACTTAACAAGAATTGCAGAGAAGGAGTCTGATGTCTGGCTTAATGTTACTTGGAAAATTTAAACTATTCTATTTTGATGAGGTATACAAAGTATTGGCAGTGCTAGGTTTGTTCCTTGGCCTTGGCTTTAAGCACTGAAAGTTACACATGAAATATGTTCAGGGGACACTTATTCCTTGCAAAGTTGTTGTAACAGGAACTAGGGATTCAGAACTGGATTCTGTAACTGGCTTTGCCTCTACTGAGTTTGAACAAATTACCTCTATCTCTGTGGCATCACCTCTACTGTAAAGTAGGGAGATGACTAAGCTACCACATGGAGAACAACTGCTTTTTACTCTTATTGGGTTGTATTGTATAACTGCTAGCAGGCCTCAGCCTTTCCCTCTCACTTTCCATTCCCTGTGTTCTTTTATCAGGTTACTACAACAGAGGCAGCAGAAACAGAGGACAGGCAGCTGAAATCCAGGCCCCTGATGCAGAGGCACCACCCTCAGAGCTCAGATCACAGCTATGCCATTGCTGATTGCACTTCCTTGAAAAAAAAGCTCTTTCAAGCCCTGGAAGAAAATGAAAAACTCCGAAAATGCCTGAAAGTTAAAAGTGTAGAACTAAAAAGGATACTTGTGCGGCTCCAAACTTGTAAAAAGGAGCACTGAGAACTCCAAGCTAACCAAGCTCCTGGAAGGGTGCTGGGCCTGACTTTCTAAACACTCTTCTACCTCCAAGAACAGCAGCTCAAGAGGCTGCTGCCTAGTGTGACTTTCCCATGGGCTAGGGAAACCTCATTGCTGTGGTTTCTCCTGGGCATAGCTTGACATTCACACAAATCATAACTGCCTGGTGGACAAGAGCTGAGAACTAGTGCCCACAGTCTGAGACAGAAAAATCTGAACGCATGAAAACCCAAACTTTTACATCATGCTTGAGTACTTGTAATGTTAGTATGGTTGTTAAAGGGAAAAGGAGAAAATTGACAGGGTAACTAGGAGATGCTACAAAAGTTTCCTTGGATGCTGTTGCTTCTAGTATGCCATTTAATTGAGGCTGAGAAGTGGGTAATTTAGTGCTTCCTTAAGGCATTTTTGCCTGTTATTTTGATAAGAGTTAATAGTACTTATTTTTCTCCCCTATGTAACATATAGGTGGTCAGAAGCATCTCACCTGTAATCTTCCTGTAAATGTAAAACAAAAAACAGTTGTGAACTATTCTAAAGCTACAAAGCAGCTGAAGGGGTCAAAAAGCCAGTTTGTAAGTGGTATTAGGGTTGTTCTAGTTCCCTTTTATTCTGTAGGCTGTAAGAAAAGGGATTTACTTTGACAGTAAAAATTATTTAAGCACAGTAAAACATAAGGGTCAGCGTTGACTGTTTATTACTTACAAACTTTATGACTTTTTATGTCTCCTTCTTAGTTCAAGTATTGAAATTTATGTATCTAGTGGTGGCATTTTTCCTGTAATTAACAATAAATGTGTTTAATAATTTTTGTACTTCTGAACATTTCATTTCCAGACAATCCTTCTATTATGACTAATAACTTTCAGTAGCAGAGCCTGGCTCCAATCAGATGTGGGTGATGGTAAAAACAGTGAAAGATGGCAATTTTTGAGAGCTTATGAGACATAAATGTTCAAACCTGCCCCCCCACCTCTTCTTAGAGACACAGGCCTTCTCCCTTGTTACTCAATAACTTGCTGTACACAGGCCAGACTTATATTTATAAAACAGAACTTGAAAGAGAATCAAATCAGGAAAAGGTTTATTTGGACAATCCAGCATTTTCCGCTTCACCAGCTGACAAGGTAAATGAAGTATTTGGTGCCTAGAAAATTAAGTCTGCATCAAAAGGTACCTGGGGTAGTTTTTAACTAAGATTCATTCAAAACACAAAGTTTATTGCAAAATTAACATGTAAATAAAATCTGTGGTGATAAGTAATGAGAACTCCTACAGCAGGAGCCATTCACAAATAACAAGGAGATTTGTTTTTTTTTAAACCTGGTGACCATCATTGGATTATAAGAGTAGGCAGGGGAGAGACTTCCCAGCTTTTCTGGAACAGCTATAATGAACTGACTCTTGAGCAAGGACTATTGTCAATGAGATTATTCTAATATGGCTTTCTGTTTTTAAGTGGGAGACAAAGACAGTCACAGGAATGAGCAGAATGGCAATTAGACAAACAAGGGGCAAAGATGCATGTCAGCAACATGTTTACTGCTATGTCAATATACACTTGTTTCTGTGTCCCTTGCCTATAAATGAGGGCCCTCCCAGGACTGACCAGGAGCAGAACTGTTCCCTCATGACCCATTAAAAGCCACTGACTGTTCCTTTCTTATATAAAAGTCTTAACTTACTGCTGTGCCAGCTAGGAAACACTATCATCTCCATCAGTCCTCCATCTTTCTGTTGTTGGTGGAGCAGTAGTGCCTCTTCTGGGGGTAAGTCCCAAGCATGTGCTGTGGATATTCCAGGGAATCTATTCCACAGGTGCCTCTACTATTGAAGGCAGCCAGCAAAATTCCCATGTTCTCACCTCCTTACCCCAATTTGGCACATTTCTACTTTTTGGTCTGGTTTACCTGCATCAACTGCATTTCCCTCTGGCTAGAATGAAATCTATTGGAAAGCAACAACTGCAACAGTAAATTCAGCTGAACCGAACAATTCAGATTCTAGCTAATTCAGTTTCTCCCCCACCAAAAAAGACTTAAAATACTATGGAGTTCTTGGCTTAGCAGAAGCAGAATGTGTATGACAAGGACTGTGATTGTAATCCTGATAATTAGTTTAGTGTCATAACGGTGCTCAGAATCAGTGTCACTAACTGGATGGATTCATGCTGAAAGGTGTCCATGCGATTAGGTAAAGCAGAAAACTTAGTTTCCAACATACTCACTGTTCTCAAACAACAAGCATGTTTTTCATTCAGATCTGGGACAAGCACCACAATCTTTATATCTTTTTTCCAGTAACAGACTCTATATCAAGAAGATTCCTAGGAGGTGGTCATAAATTTCACTTCCTCTTACAGAATATTATATTAGCTATTGTTTTTAGTTAAGGACAGTGTAACCCAACCCTGTCAGAAGGAAAAGAAGGAAGAGTGGAGGGTCCTCTTCCCTGCTCACAGTGTGAAAGGAAACACTGAGTGTGAACAAATGAGCTGCAGTCACCTTGCAGCAGGAAAGACTGGATCAAAAGATAGCTGCAGCCCAAGCCCCATGCTGCTCCTCCCAGGCAGAGTGTACCACATTGTCTCAGTCAGGTCACCTTGCTAGTTATTACGCCATAGTCCTGGGTAGTACTGCTTCGGAGCAGGTCCTCTCCTGTTGTCCCTTAACATAATTGGAATGACACCACCCTCTACATGAACCATAAAAATAAAAATGTCTCTTTAAATTCATCAGATCCAGGGGGAAGGTTTTGCAGCTTCTGTTGACATGGGTACAGTAGATGATGCCCTTTTTCACTAGATTAGCTATCTGCATCAATTCTGTGAGCTGTTAAGGAAAAACACATGGATAGAGTATGTTCATTAGAAAAGATGCACCTTAATTCAGGATATTTACCATAAAACTAGTTACAGACAGAAATGTCACTACTAGCAAATAACATTATAAGCAAGACACTTATCCACTTATGAAAACTTCATAAGAGATTGACCACTCAGTGCGTGCATACATCCTTGTTACCAAGGAAATCCTGGATTTATTTAGAAGAGACTTGTATTCTTCAGTCAATTCACAATGCAGTTATTCTGAAGTACAGTGAAAACTGTCACTATATTACCTACCTTGAAAAATGATTCTGGGGACTGTTGCAAAGTCAAATCAAACACTTAATAATATCAAATCTCCCAGCTCTTCATATCACCCCATATCTTGAACAGTCAATATGAACTGCTCTTCTTTCCACCATTGATGTCACCACCACCATGAGAAAGAATCAACAGACATCACCCAGACCATGCTAACTCCTCAGAACTAATGAATCCAGTGTCTCTGCAACTGAGACATCCGAACTGGCAGCTCCATAGTAATACTGGCCCCCAGTGTTAAGAGCTGACTGCATGGGTGGGTAGTTCCTTTCCTGGCTGCTGGGATTGAGGCCCAGTGACTGGAGGAAAGAAGACTGGAGTCCTGGCTACTTACATTGCTTTGGTATCCTAAGGGCCTCATTGTCTGCAGACATCACTTGGTGCAGAACTCCTCGAAACTGATACAGCACTTTCAAACTCTTGTTTTCACCCACACAAGGGTCGTAGAACCCAGGCAATCCAGCCTTAAGCAAGAAAACCAATATATTAAGCACAAGAGAATGACACTTCCACAGCTCTTCCACTGGAGCTTTTGGGGTACAACAGAGAAAGGTTGGGAATTATAAGTGGTTATCTACTCTTTAGAAGTGGGCACACCCAATATCCAATCTAATCACTGTACAAGACTAATTAAAAGTTATTTCCACATACATACCAACATGTTGCTTCTATCATGACATCTGCTTTTTTTTTTTTTTTTTTTTAAATATTTCTCTCTCCCTTGCTGCTGTTTGAAAGACTCGCACAAACTGGGGAAATTGACTCTCTAGGAAAAAAAGCTCAAGCAGCCACCCTACCCAGTGCTCTGAGTCAGCTGGAAACAATAGGAAATAATCATTTTCCCTTCCCACATTTCTTGCAGTGATTTTATCCTTAACAACTGCAGATAAGCCAATTTCAGCTCCCTGTGACTTTCAAGCTGATTCTCCCACAACAGCATTTATGACACAGCTCATAATAGGCTGATACTGGGCTAAGGCATTCCCCTCCCTCAAGCTATGGCCATGCAGAAGAAGGAAGGGAGTGTCAAAAACTGCCTAGATGCACTTATACTAGAGTGGGCTGTGCTCCTGGACAGTTTAGCTGCTCTCTGCCTGGTGAGTAAGCTGTACAACAGGAGTGGAAAGGGGCCTGCAGTAGAAGTGAACACCAAGAACACAGGGCACGGATGCCAGTTTCCACAGACCTAGAGCCTGTGGAACTGGAAATTGAGCCTCAACTGACAAACATCATCCGCGTGCTAGATCCTATAACAAATATTTAACACGGTAATTACTGTGTCTTGGATTAGAACAGCTCAAGGCTGAAGGTAATTTGTTATTGCCAGATGCAGTTTTCCCAGTTTAACATGAAGCAGCAATCAGAATGAGCTGTCTCTTTAGAAACAAAGGCTTTGTTGCTAGGGGATGAAAGGAGAGGCTGAGAACCAAGCCTCTTGTAGCCCATCTCGAAGCGACTCAGACTATTCCTGCTGCATTGTTCCAAAGTCAGTAACAGACTTCCTGCCCCACATTGATGTGATACAAGATACACATTGTGTTGATACAAGAACTGGGAAAACTATCATAAAGATAGGGACAGCATGACTCACAGCACTTGGTACAAACATTGGTTCTCTGGATCTAGATTGGCTAGCTCCAACTATATTACTAAGTTCCCCAATAGAGCAGAATATATGGTAATTTAGATAGATACTTAAGAGCTCTGCTGCCTGGTCAGACCCTGTGATTTCCTTGAGGACTGGCAGTCAGCACGTACCTTGGATGCCTCTGTTAGGATGAGCTTGGAGTCCTTCACCATGCATTGCAGAGGCACGGTCACATCAATCACTTTCACCTTCTCATTCTTCCGGCTGTTATCGTTGACAAACTTCCCATACCAGGCATTCACCACAATCAGACCTGCATTTTGCACAGGGACACCTCCATGGGCAAAGGCTGCCTTGAGCACCTGGGCAGCAACTAAAGAACCCAGCTCATGCCCTCACCTAACATCTTCCTGGAAAGATTCCCATATCCTTCAGCACACCAGGAAAAGCCCAGCCAGAATGAAAGGAGAATTTCTGTACTGACCTGTGACCCTCTGAAACCTAACCAAGTGGGAACTAGGGCACAGGCAGATACCTCCCACCTCCTACCACCACCTTTGGTTCAGGCCAATCCCTTCCTAGAAAAGCATTTCCACTTCTAAGTTCAGGATTAACAGAAGATGACTGAGGCAGTTCACATTTCTTAGAACAATGATTTTAGGTTGTCCTATATTCAGGCAGCTGTCACTGCAGCAGTTACACTCAATTCACCCTTTGAATGTTATCTTTGAAAGCATAAAGCCCAAGAAGTTATACACCATTTAGAATTCAAAGTTAAGGTCTACTGGCAAATTACACTGCCCTGGAATGACAGAATCCTAGGATGCCTATACACATGCAGTGAGGCTGCTCCGGCACGCTGTAATTACAGCATGTTGGAGCAGCCTCACTTGAGTAATCAAGTCTGCTGGAGCATGGTAATTACCATGCTCCAGAAGACTCCCATCTGTCATGTATTAGCATCCCCACACTGAAAAATGGTTTGGCAAGCTTTAGTTAAAGCGCCCCTGCTGTCATTTTTCAGCATGAGGATGCTGATACATGAGACGCTCCAGGCGCTTTAAATAAGCAGCTCTTGGGGCTGCTTTAATTAAAGCTTCTGTGTCACCCCCACCCCACAACCCAGAGCATGTGTATAAACACCCCACGACTCGAGATAGCTGGTATATACACAGACATTTATGGATTTTTACAATGGTCTCCCAGCTCTTAGGGTAGAAGTCAATGGAGAAAGCTGCTGGTGCCTATCCAGTATTGCCTGAATTCTCCTGGCTCTAAGTTCAAAGCCAGGCCACATCCCCCAGCAATGTGTTAGAACACTATTGGGTGTCCCCCCGCCTTGTGCTGCATTCTGTGTAGACACCTGAGATAAGCTTGTACTGGGGCCTTCCCCTGTCTGTGCAGCAGACATGGACTTAAACTCGTTCTGGCATGGGGGGCACCAGCAGAGCAAGACTAGGGGGTGAGGCAATTTCAGGGGAGCACTACCACTCTGTGCTCCCCTACCAGCCAGGGCACCAGCGCTCTCAAGAGGGCGCACCCCCCCTATATGCATCACCTATGCATTCTGGATTTGTATTGAGCATGAAAACTGAAAACCCACAGATATCTCTTATGCCTACCTCCCACTTGTCTCTCCCCAGCCCTCCCACCTCTGCAGAGGTGCCCTTCCTCTCCCCAAACCTGCAGAACAAACAATCTGTGCTGTACTCTTTACCCATCCTGGCTTCCTCTGCCTCAATTATCCTCCGGACAGACTCCTGCATTAACCGAACCTGCCACGACAAAGAATAGAATAAAATCCAGCAGCAAAAGAAACTGTTTGAGAGATGCAAAGAAGTCCCCTGTAGAAGCAGCTTCCTTTAGCCGAAGAGTGCCTGAGACAGGTGAAAGAATTAGAACACATCTGCAGGCCAGGGCCTAAATATCATCTGAGAGACAAGCTAAGCAGCATATTAAATCGAGGCTAAGAATAAAGAATAAAATGGGAAATGTAGTGCCATAACACAGAGCACTGGGCTAGTCCTGCCTGGAAATCACCCAAACCCAAAAGCAGTGTCCCAAACAAATAAAGGAGAGAGTATGCAGGAGGCCCTGCGTTCCACTTTCCCCGCGGAGAGCATGCTGTCATGGGGCTATGAATAGGGACCTACCAAAATTATGGCAGAAGTGGGCTGTGTGGCAGCTCCTTTAATCTTGCAGGTTCCCCCGCACACACCCCCTGCCAACTGGGGTTTTATATATGGTGCCATTTTTGCCTCTGGGCCAGTCAGCAGCAAGCAGCAGGGTCACTGGGGCCCCTCAGCCAATCAGCAATGGGGCAGGGCACACAGAGGAACCTGCAAGATTAAAGAAGCTGCCACGGAACCCACTTCCACTGTCATTTTGGTAGGTCCCTATCAAAGGTCCCAGAGTGCACAGGCCTGCCAGTCCCCCAGGCTTCCTAAATTAGGTGGTTGTAGCTACATACTACAGGAGCTCCAGTTGGCAGCCTACTGTGCAGAGCTTCCAGCTTCTCCCATACCCCTGAATTTTAATTATTTATTTGTGTCCCCTCAGTTTTACTTTTACACATCCCCTGCCCAGAAATTAATTCTGTCCCTTCACCTAGCCCCATATCCAATCATCCTCAGCTCCCTACACCAGTGCTGTCCATTTTATCAGAGAAAAAAAGGAGTCAGCAGCTAAGCTGCCCTGGGCTACAGGGGTTTTTGTTCCTGCCAGCAGCAAAATCAAGGGGGCTCCCCCAAAACAAGGCTGATATCCATAAAAAGGCTGGAGCATCTTTCAGCACTACTAGTCCAGTTCCAGTCCTGGCCAGAATCAGGTGACTTCAGAAACCAAGCAAGTTGGCAGCTGGCAGTACAGTGCAAGTTCTACATGCTGACCTGGGCGCGCAGCTAGAGAATACAGCATGTGACCTGCATGCAACAAAACCATCAACCCAAAGATGATGTCACCCAGCAAGGGTGCAGGGAAGGAGAGAGTACTTACTGCAGCTTCTGCCTCCTGTTTCTTGTGTAGGATGTCACTGGCTGTGCTTTCCCTTTGCTTCTCCAACTCTCTGATAAAAAGGAAGTTAAACATAATTCTAAATGTGATACAGCCACAAGAAGGCACTTCCAATACTACCCATTTCAACAGACACAGCATCCCGATGAGTGAAGGCCACCACCTACCCAAGCTGCCATCAAGCTGTGATGTGGGTCTGTGTACAGCCCTAATCCTTCAGCGCTCCATTTTTCCTCAGGCTTCCAGAATGCTACATGGTGACTGTACCTCAGATACCCCAGCACGTGACCCACCACCCAAAGGCAACTGGGCAGGAGTGCCCAACTCCATACTCAGAACTCACTTCTCCTTTTGTGCTTGGAGGTAGGGTTTGATGATTAGCCTATGCATGGCAAAGTAGATAACTAGGGGTCCCACGGTGGCATAGAATACAGCACTGGGAAGCAGCTGATCTGTCAGATGGATAGGGAAAAAGTAGGTCTGGCTAGCCCTGTTCAACCTAGAACAAAGAAGAACAAAGTGGCTGGTCACAGCAAGTCTGGAATTCTAAAGGGTCCAGCAGAATAGGTCCAACAACAGCCAGTGGCAGGGGATCCAATTCAGTGACAGCAGCCAGCAAAGGCCATGAGATGATCTGAACTCTGAATCTTCAAAAGGCAAACAGCACCTAGATCAAATCAGAGCAATCGCAAGGCATACTGCAGAAGCCTGCCAGACCCTTAAGTGGAAGGGATGGATGCTTCTTCTGAAAAAATCCACTGCTGTACTGTTCTCATTCACTGAACGACCTACTCACTGGATTTTAACCAGCAAGACTAGATCGGTTACCTGTCCCTGTGCACAGCATGGAACACAATGTTCCCAGCTGCACAGCAACAGTGGATACTCTCAACAGAAGGAGGTCACACTCATGCATGCGTCTTGCAGGAAGAATATGAAAGATTTTACTATAAGCAGGTGGCAAACAATTTCAGCAAAGTTCAGCTTCTCATTAGGACTGGAATCCAGAGCTGAGCTAATTACAGCAGTGTTTGCATGCCCTCTGCTGGCAAAGTCAAAGTATGCACTATAACATAGCAACACAGTAGGGGCTCAGTGTCTTTTTCTAATGCATGGTATTAGAAACATGTCAGTTTTCATTAGTTAACTGTAACAATATAGATGGGTCTAAATATTTGCCAGGGTATACAGATACTAGTGCTAGAACACAATTCAAGATATTCTTGAACCAGGAAAAAAAATCCCCAGCCAGTTTTGTACCCGTTTCTTACGGTGATGTTCTGAACTCGTCTTTAAAAAGCACCCTCAGATTACTTTTATTTTCTTAGAAACTGGGTATGAATGAGATCTCAGCACCATACAGAGGAATGCTGGCAATATGTACTTGGCTTCAGAGGGCCACATGTCTATCTCAAAAGCAAGGGCAGCTGCAATCTGCTCCTTTTTATTGCATGCATGTGCATCACTGCCTTTGGGCTCTATTTGCCAATATGCCTGGAGCCCCTACATCAGGGAGGCCCTGATGTAATGTGGAGCAGAGATGCAGGAGATACATTACAGTTATTAATTTAACTGACTTGATTTTCAGGGACACGCCTTGTGGAACACCAACACTGACAGTAGCTCCTAAAATACTGTGCCTGGAAATCTTCCTCTCCGCTCCATATTCCACCATGGTCCCAAAAAAACCAGCCCTGGAACAAGAGAACCAGACAAGAGTCAAGCAAGGGCAAGCTCTCTGATCTCTCATAGCTAAATTTTATTTATTGTAGTTTCACAAAGTCTCAAGCAAAATAAAACAAGAGGAAACTACATAACAAGGAACACGTTGTGCACAGGAAAGGTAGTTAGTGAGAATGATTCACCCTGAAAATATAAGACAAGACCAAGAAGACAGGAGTCTTCTGCAGTGATCAAGACTTACAGGCCAAAGGTTCAGCTAAGCCAATAAGACTCTGGCCATTCGTTTTACCCGATTAACAGGGAAAATTAGAATTCAAGGGAAGCAAACATTCAAACAGGACAGTACAAGCACAGATGTAGTGCGCAGGTTGTGCAGGCCTGCAGCAGTGATCAGATTTTCCTGCAGGACTCTCTGACGCATGCCTGGCATGAACATCCCATGGCCACACTTACTTGAGAGAGCCTTTGACTCGTGTCTGATCCTCATCCTGAAACTTATGCTGGTAACTGATCATCATGAAGGTGTGGGGGATTCCCAGCTGAAACACCAGAGAAGCATGAGTGCGTGGGAAAGCATCACTAGTCACCACTGTGCATCTCCACAGAATCCCCTTTCTACTCAGTCCCTTATGCAAGGTATAAGCATGCCAGGAGCATGCCCTGCACGCCACTACTCATAACTGAAGCTGTTCTACGCTCACAGTGACTGGCCCCATAAAGCACTAGAGCCCTTATAAGGGAGAGGACTAAGATTTCAGGATACAAGGAAGATCCCCTTTTACAGAATAATCTGCAAAGCAATAACCAGAGAACTGACTTAAAAGGGCAGTGTCAGCTGATTTAATGCCAAGGTTTCTATTACTATATCTGGTGAAAAACACTGCATTTACTCAAATCTAAGACAACCCTAAATTTAAGACACCCCCCCCAATAATTAGATTCTATACATGGAAAATTTATAAATTTGTTATAAATTTTCCATACATAGAATCTAATTATGGAAGGTGATCTTTAATTCATGCTGCCCACCACTGCAGGGGGCCAGGTGGGGAGGCAGGTGGTGTGGGGAGATCAAGCAACTTTCCCTTGCTTGTGCCTGCCCTCACTAGACTCTGGTCCCCCTTTTCCCTCCCCAGCCTCTGCTTCACCCGTCCACAACTTTTAACTTTGCTCGATGCTGGTAGACTCCATCCCTGTTTTAGCCCGAGGCACTGAGCATGGCCTCAGCCTGGCCCCCATAGCAGCTCTGTGGACTGTGCATCACTGTTATGGGGTCAAGCTGGGGACATGCCCAGTGCCCAAGGCTGCAGTGTTCACAGAGCCCTGCTGGTGCACAGCAAGGGTTGGGGGAAGGGAGGAGGGGAAGAGGGGCAGGCAGAAGAGCAGAGGCTGCATGGGGAGCAGAAATGGCAGGAAGAGGCTGTAGGAGGGAAACAGTGGGGTGCAAAGGTGGGGGGGGCAGCAGGGAAGAGCCCACAGGTAACAGCTACAACTATGACCAAGTCCCAAATAGGAGTCAAAGCCTGAGCCACACCAGCCGCCTACCCACCCACCCTCCATGGCCCTTGTTTGTGATTCTAAGGCAAGGAGCTCCCCTTCCCATGTTAAATAGGGAAAAAAACCCATCTTAGAATCAAGAAAATATGGTAAGCTTCCAGGCACCCTTAAAAAGAGCAACTGGCAGCTGCCTGTTTTATCCCAGACTAATGGAATCCTTCTGAAGTCCCCCACTCCATTCCCACCTAGCCCCACATTTCTTATTAGAAAGTCACTGTTGGAATCTACAGGCAAAATGGGTGGGCACACACTGAACTGCACTGGTGCATCCAGGACTGCCACGTGTCTCCATGCAGCAGGAAGATTAGTGTTTCTTCCCAGACGAAGGGGAAAATTAAGGCTGTTCTCAAAACACTTCCCTGAAGCACTGTGCCTTAAGTTGGGTAGTAAACATATCTAATGACCCAAAGACACCTCTGAAGAGCTAGGCCATTTCTGTGCCAAACATGCTACAAGCTCCCCCAGCGAATAAGGGACAGTCAGAGAGCATTCTCCACTGCACACAACAGTTAAGGACTCACTTGCATCGCCACTGTGAAATGGCTGCTTTTGGTATCCCGGACAATACTTGTGTTCATGGCTGACTGGATACCCCATCGCCACTGTAAATAGCCCACGGTGTTCTTATCTAGGTTTCGTGCCAAGACAGTCGTAAGGCCTGGTCGGATCCCACGGGATGAAAACTGCAGAGCACAGTGCGTAGTGATGAAGCTAAAAGAAACAAGGAGAGTCATGGCCGTGACAGTAAGTACAGAGACTTCCTTCACACTGCCTCAAACTCAGAAGCATCAGTAGGCAGGGCACCCCAAGAAGCATTTGCTGCAAGCTGCAGGCACAGCCCTCCAGGTCCAACAGAGCCATCAATCAGTTTAGACAGTGTGGAGTAATGGCAACTGATAAGAAACTACCACAAAAGTACCCCCCAATCCAGCCACAGGGACCACACTGGGATCAGCCCAATGGGATCCTCTGAAACGCAAAGCTTTGCTGTCCAATAGATATGACCTGGGAATTCATGGAATTGGCATCCTCAGCTGCTAGACAGGCTTCCAATTGCTGTTCAGCAGTTCCCTGGTATTAGCATGAGAAACGGCATCAGTCAGCTACATATAGGGGAGTGCTATGATGCACTCAAGGGACTACAATGTTTGCAAATCAGGAGGTCTCTGAAGGCAGGAGACTGCATTGCCACAAATGATCCACAGGCTCCAATACACAGGAGTAACCACCACCACCACCTCATATGGTACTGCAAAGAATGACAATTCAGCCCTGTGCCAGCCTGCATCAGCCTAAGGATAAACCCTGCACTACTTCTCTGTCCTATGAAATATCATTTATTTTCTGAGTGTCACCACTGCTCTCTTGCACAAGTCCCATAAGAGCCCTAGAGAAGTGGCCAGGATTCTGAAGAATACTATTGAGCATTACTGCTGCACAACATCCTGAGGCTTGTGATAAAGATCACTTGAGCTTTGGTCCCCTTCCCTCATCAGTTTGTGGAAAGACATTCATATAATTTAGAGCCACAAAGCAACATGTTTTTTGCAACACACCTGACATTCAGGATCAACCTCTGAAAAAAATCCAAGACATCTATTTGTCTTACCTTCCCCTTCAGATTATGAATACATGGGTTAATTATACTCACGCTATTGCCATTGTGGGACACTATGTCACTTTAATGGCCCCTTGTCCTATATGGCAATGTCAACCTGTTTATTTGCCTTCCAAATGCAGGCACCACCCCCCATTCTCTCACACATCCCAAGCAGAGCCAGCACCCTTGTCACAGCAGCAAAAGTACAACCAAATTACAGTCCGTGGGCTCACTTTGAAAATAAGCAAACTGCCATTCCTGCTCTCTTGTGAGTGATGCTACAGTGAACTGGGTCAGAATCCTTCCCATTTTAGGCACAGGCATTCATTTCATTTCTTCATTTTTCTTTTTAAACACAAACGTGGCAAGGAGTTTAACACAGGCTTTCTACACTCGACTCTCAAAGCTGGCATGTTTGCCTGCAACTCCAGCCCACTCTGTTGACCTCCACATTCTTGTTGATAGTTTGCAAAAAGTAGTTTTCTCTAAGAACCTTTCTGAAAGGTTGTAAGGGTGCCATCTGCTGGTTACAGCATGACATGCCACCCCAAAGAAGCTGGAGCTGTGTACATAAAGCTTAAAGCAACATAAAATAGGAAAATAAGATAGCATTAATTTCCAAAATGATCAACCCATAAAGGGGTAACCACTTTCAGATGTGACTAAAAAAAAGTTGTGAAGCACCATTCTTATTTCCTTCATGGTAACCTGGATCACATGCCATGACACTATTTATAGTAGCAATATTGTAAACAGCAGCAAAGTTTTGTACACATACAGACTTAACTGTATGTGCCTGTGCATTTCTGCATTCTTTCTCTGCTAAGTCTTTAGAGACTATTGTTTAACAATTCCCTCCCAGCCTGACCTGACAGCAGTCAGACTCCTGTTTTTAAGGACACCATGCCAGGGCACACTGATTATGAGGTCAAAAATCCAGGATTATGACTTCACAACCAAAGCAAATACATATCCAAGGGTGAGAGAGAACAGCGTGTTGAAGCCCAGAGCATAATTAAAAGTATGAGGCATAATAAAAAAGAACCAACAAAAATATGAATACATATGCAACCTAAATATACAAAAATACACAACAGCATCAGTATAAATATTAAAACAAAGAGGGTGCACAGTAGCTTTTCATATATTTACCATCTTGGTGTAAGGTTACGAAATATCTTCAAACCAAAGAGAGGTCCCTGAAGGTCTCCAGCTCCCAACTCTAGCTGTTTAAAACATAAGAGGCAAACCAGTTTAGGAGGAAATTACTGACAACAATTATACAGCACTTCCTCCCATCTCTACCTTGATGATTTTGCACTATGGACATGTATCAGAGTAGCATACACCATTCATGACTGTCCACTTTAGCCACCAGCCTTTTCTACCAGTGTTAGGTTCAGGATGAGTAGTCTCAATGATACTAGTAAAACATCTGCCGATTTTACATCAGGTCATCTGAACAGGAGCAGTGCCTGACCTAGTCCCTGAAGTGAAAGGCATGACATTTCCACCAAAGTTCCAAGGTAGCAACTGCTGGGTTAGTTCACAGATGATTCCTCTCAACAGACACACCCACCCATCCACCCAGGATGGGGGGAGGTGTGCAAAAGCAGCCCCCTGTGATGCAGGGGTAGCTACAACCCAGCTCCCAGCACCCTCCTCCACTCACCAGTGCAGGCAGACCATGCTACAGGAACCTCTGGGGACTTCTTTTATAAGTCCCCAAAGCACGTAAGAACCCCATCCACTTCCCCTCCATGCTCAAAAGTATGCCCCCTCCCTGCCCCTTTCCCACCTACTTCTGCTGCTTTCTCTGCTGTACAGGGGAAGGTTCAAAGCTGCTCCTACCTGATCCAGCCAAGCTCTGTAGTGGCTGGGTTCAGCTAGCAACAGTGAGGGTAGCAGCAGCAGCGATGGGTGGGCTCCTCTACCCTGCCCAGTTCCTGGGAACTGACACAGGGAGGGGAAACCCCCCACCTGTTACAACTGCCCTGTAACTGTCCCAGTTGAGCCCAGCCTCCAAGCAGCCTGGCTGGAGTGGGCAAGAGTGCCCCCATGACAGTGGGGAAAGTAGCAGCAGTGGGTAGGGAAGGGAATGTGCCCTTTTGGCGTGGATGGAAGGGGAGGGGAGAATTGTTGCATTCTTTGAGGACTTAAAAAAAAGTCACCAGAAGCTCCCATGCTACAATCCAATCCAGTGGAGGGGAGGTAGAGGTGCAGCCATGCTACTGCATCTCCTTTGGATCTGTCCCTGCACATGCACACGCACACCCACACAAAATCACAATGTTTAGAGGTAAAGCTGCAGATTTTTTATTATTATTATTCCTGTAACAGAGACCTCCATCTCTTCTTACACAGTCCATTAGACAATAAATTACTGCATGCCAGACCAATTCATAACTGGTACCCTAAACAGAGTCCCATTCCTAATTTCCTGCTTTGTCTGATCTGAAGATTCAGTGTGGCACCTAACTTCTAACAGTTCTTAACATCACTGTCTATGATGCTGTATTGCAGGGTTACTGTATGATGGGGTGGGCAAAACACAGCTTGTGGGCCAGATCCAGCCCACCAACTGATTTGTCTGGCTTGCAGGCAGCCAGTGGCAGCAACACACAACAGGCCCTGGGCAAGCTGCACTCAGGCCCCAGCCTCTGCTGGCAGGCAGTGAGACTCCAGCTCTGGCTCTAGGCGGAAGCAGCCCAGCCTGCCTGGCACAGTGCAGCACCAGCAGAAGCCAGGGCCTAAGCACAGCTCATCAAAGGACTGCCATGTGGGGGCAGGCAGGTGGGGCTGTTGCTGCCCAGCATGCCCTATAGTGCCTGGGAGATGCAGTCGAGCCCCGTAGGCCCTGGGCGAGCTGCACTCCGGTCCCGACTTCAGCTAACAGGCAGTATCCAGGGCCTGCTGAGCCAGACTGCATCTCTTAGACGCTGCAGGGAACACTGCAGGGAAACAGCCCTGTCTGTCCATGTGGCACTGTGTGGCAGGCCCTAGGCAAGCTGTACTTAGGCCCCAGTGGCTCTGGCCACTGTGTGGTGCCAGACAGGTAGGCAGGGCTGCTTTCACCCAGCATCCCCTGCAGCGCCACCAGAGGCCAGCCTCTGTCTGTGGGGGATAGAGCCTGGAGTCGGGGGTGGGGGGGGAAGAGTGAGGGAGA